TTACACGCGAAGTAAATTAATTCGCATAGATAGATATGACATACTTAATCAAATATCTTTTATATGATTAAATTAAAGACGTCACTGTTATATGTGTATTTAGCCCATTTATTTCATTTATGAAAATTTAGTACAGAAAAAGATTTAATAACACAATAGCAAATATCTCTCCACGTCCTTAAATATTTTTCTTTATAGAAATAACATTCTATCTACATTGGCTAAATATCAATTTTTTTATTAATTATAGATTAAATTATTAAACTCTAAATTATATTAAATTCCGTTTATTTCTTTTCTAGATTTCTATTCCATTGGCTCAATTCGCGATGCATTTACCTAAAACGGCGGTTACTGTAAAATGCATTCGAATCTTCCACATTGTAGCCGATATTCTTTTATGCATTCACTTCACTCTGGATCCATATATTTATGTTCTTTTACGAATGCCCCGGCCGAGATTTAGATTATTGAAGCCCCTCTGTAGAATCTGCTGGCCTGAATCATCCTATAAAAGCCGCTCCAACTCCTTTACAGGTAAAACAATACATGAACATTAATTAAAATTTGAAAAAAATTATGTATTTTATAATTACGTTACAATAATTGACGTATTAATTAAAAGTATGTGGATCAAATTACATAAAATAGGCATCAATTCACGTTATTAATTTCATAATATTATTGTAGTAAAAAATAAAATAATTAAATATGATGATTATGTATAATAAAATAGAAAAAATAAGATCACAGTGTTGACAAGAGATAAAATAAAATTAAAATTTACTGCAGCACTGTCATAGAAATGATTTCATGCAATAGGTACGATGGATCATCATTGCAGCACTAATGGTATACCTACACCTAACACCGCTCCATCGACTCCTGTTAGCGAAGAACACGATTCGCATCTGGTTACAGCATCCCTCTGAGATCGGCCTATGCGAATGATTTTCCTAAAGCGATTGAAAAATCACGACGTAATCCACATGTAAAATCACATGCTTCAAATCGCTTCGACTGGAAGACATTCGCGCAACTTTTAATTAACTCCATTCATTTGCATAAGGCAAGCGAAAGTGATGTTGATTTTCCGTACGCAAAATAAAAAATTTGATTAAAAAATTGTTTGAAAAAGAAAAATTTTAATTTGTAAATAAGTAATTGGTATACTTGAATATGTTTGTGGAAGTTTCTAGTCAACAACGAAAGCGCGAGAATGAATGACGGAATACGCGCAATTAATCGCGCAAATAACCAAAGTATGTAATATATAACACCCCATGGCTAAATAAAAAATATATTTCTAATACTAAAAATTAAAATATATAGAATGCGGATGTAAATGACAATATTTTAGAAGATACCTTTTTTTAAATGTAGTTTACGAGATATAAAGTACATACACGATCTTATAAAAAATAAAAAAATTATTTAAAAAATTTTTATCAAATTACATGTTTTTGAAATTATTCTCTAAATTATATTCTCATTTTTTAATACAATGTATGTACCGCGAGGGAGAAGTCTATTATAGTACATATATTTCTCTATACTATATTCCATGTTGTGTGCAATTGTAACCTAGAGAGTAGGAATGTCGTTGATATATTTGTAAACGACTTTATTTTAAACGAATATCGTTATTTGTACATAATATCATACATACATTTGTTAATGTATATTATGTATGCCGCACAACGTCGCGTAGCACTTGCGCGTTTAACAACTTTCAAATAAACGTTAATCCAAAATTATCTAGATCACGACTTAATCATCTTCAGGACAGACATACACCCACGAATATTTTCGTGTACAAAAAAAGAATAGAATGCAAACATACACTTCGCATTCTCTCTGTGCAGCATCTAAAATATCGTGACGTCGCGTCGCGCCAATCAATAACGATCAAAGTGCAGTAAAGCGCAGCGCGAAATAAATCAAAATTCGAATGAAATTAAAGTGTATAATACAAGTATACAATTATGTCGGCAGGTAACTCGCTGTTAGCCACCGATAATGTCGAAAATAAGTTACCGTCGAAAAGTCGAGTCGCTTGTAAAAAATATACACATCTCAAATGCAAGTTTAACTAAAATTTGTATACATAAGTTCGCCTATGCAGGATGTAACATTATAGTCGCTCGTAGAGAAAATTGTGATTTATTGTGATCGCTTTTACACTAATGTTGTACAATGAATTTGTAAGAAATAAATAAATATTTGCATAAATATAATACGCTAACAATAAACTAAAACATTATCTACGTTAAAATTATGATTTGCAGACAGATATTGATTGCTTTTAATAAAGACTACTTTTGTTACATTTAGTATTACAATTACGTATTATATCAGAAGAATGTCTTATAATATAACTTGATTTTGATTTAATAATAATCAATTTCAATTACAGTTAAAAATTACCATTACATCTTTCTTATAATTGTCATTACATTTTTTTTTCTCCTTTTCCGCGATGTTTTGTTAAACCCTGCATATTTTGGAGCTTGGAGCTCAATTCCTTGAAGATCGAAGTTATACTCGATTATATATCATTCATAAATATACATACACATATATTTGTTTATATTAATTTGATAAAAAGTTTATATAATTTGAAATCTCTTTCTGAGAAAATATCGTTTTTATGCAATAAACAAGTGCATTCGAAGTTCTAGTTTTAACATTACAACTGACATATGTACATACAAGAAATAGAATTGCCGAATAGTAGAATGGAAAGACTATTAAATTACATAAATCGACAAATATCATAATTTTTTATTTAAAAATACCTGTTTATTTTAAATACAACAAAATGATAAGACAAAAAAATCATATTTGTGTAATGTAATAACAAATTAATTTTTAACGCAATTATTTAATTTATGAATTGGTTATTCTCTTCTCAACTCATTTTTATATTGCAACAAATTAAATAACGATTAAATTTACAACGCCAAGTGAGTCACTATGTTCACACGAAAGCGGGTAACTGTTTGGCTATTGCAATAATCGATTTTCACGATAACAAAGGATGTCAAAGCACTAATAACTACATACATGATATTGTATACAGTTATTTCGAGATTCATTATCAATTAATTATTGTCACAGGTATGTTGTATGTTTATGTAAAAGTTAATTATTTAAATCACTTGCGATTATATATGGATTTTGTTGCATATTTCTGTCAGATTCATATTCATCTTGAATTATAAATATAGTTTTAAATTATTATATTATTCAGCAAAAGATGCACAATTCTTTCGGAATTATTTATTTTTCTTTATTCAGTAGAATTTCTCATTTTATATTTTTCTCATTAGAAATTATGTGATAATTATTAAACGATTCAAAAATAAATTCAAAATAAATAGACAAAATAGTTATATCAAGACAAATTGTTAAATAAGATAAGTAAATATATTCAAAGGATAAATCTCAAAAATTGTTTTACTAATATTTAATTTTTGTTTAAAATAATTTTGTTTAATCAAATATAAAAAAGATAACTTTTAAAGATACAATCGCCTTTAAACATTCGTCACAGTAAGTTTGTACAACAGATTTTCATATATTGCAATAATTTTTTAAATAAAGCGTATAGAAAAAAGAAAGAGATATACATGATGGCAACTTCATGACAGAATTTTTGGCACTTCTATTGACTTGTGATTATTGATTTGTTTTACTGATTTGTAGTTCTAATCAGATTAATTAGAAGTTAATGAAGTTCACAAACACGCACGCACACATACCGCACCTTCCACGCGCGCAGAGAGAATATAAACAGTCACTTCTAATACGCGAAAGCTTCAAATTTTTTTATTCTTCATCTGCTTCAAATAAATAAATCCATCTATTTTGAACTTCAATGCACTTGATGTACACGAACTCGATAAACTCTTAAACAATTAACACGAACACATCGAGTTACATATTATACCACGTACCGGAAATAACAAAGTACGTCAGTATACTTTCGCAGTCGATCGACAAATGAGGAGCGAAATTCGTTTCCTTTTTTCCCCTTTTTTTTCTTTTTGGCACTTCATTATTTGTAAGAAATATAGATCTCTATATATGCTATTTAATGTAGGCCAGACTTAATACATATACACATATAAGCTCGATTTAACGTCCAGGTACAGTATTCCATCGATTTTTCAGCGTCGATAGTTTTTACCTGATCATAATTCAGTCCAAAATGGAAGATCTGTTTTACTTAGGTTACGTTTCCAAAATATACTGTCAGTACTAAAAATCTATAATGCACGTAACGTAAACTATAGATTTTTAGTACTGGCAGTAAATTTTAGAATACAGTCTTAGTAACACTTTCTACATTTTTTGACAATATTTTTCTTTTAAAGTTTGATTATATTTTTTGTTCCATTTTGAACGTGTAAGATATTAGAAAGTGTAGCTAAAAAAACACGCGCACGAATCAAACCCGAACGATATAAACACCTAAAAAGCATCAAGACACTTAAAAGAGATTCCATCCTTATAAATCTCATGAACATTTTTTTATTAACGTTCTTATAGACGTTCTTTGGACCTGTATATTATTTTGAAATATGTTACTTTAATATGTGGACCATTTTCGAGACTGTGTCCTCGTGTATGGCAAACATACATTGACATCGAAAATTACATCAAGGATCAGATCTTACCATTTCCAACATAAGATTCGATTCCGCGATTCATTCGGTATTAATAATTTACCAAAGGCACGTGCTCAAATCATAGAGAAATTAACTGTTTAAATTATATACAGATATTGCAAATAGATAAATCGAGATAAATATGTATATTTTTTCAATTATTATATTTTAATGCATGCAAAATAAGTAAATTAATAAGTAATAATTTAATAATGTAAAGGAAAAATGTTCCAAACGTTTAAATCTAAACATCATCTAACATCTTTTATACATTTATGTCCAAATAATTTCAGATATGTATTTAAGAAAACAAAAAGTCCACTGCCAGCGAGCACTCATTGTTGGTAAATGATCTTACATCAGACCGACGTGATTGATCATAGTCAGAAATAGCAGATCCGCTCATAAATTGCACAACGATGATAGAGACAAATCCGTGACCGTCCTCGATCGGTCGGACTCCCGTGTGAACTGCAAACGATACTTCCTTACGTCTTGAGAGTAATGCAGTTCTCGCATCTTGCTCTTAATCCACTCGGCTAATACCAACCAGAGAACCTTCCCGCGTTCCCTGAAAACTCGGCGCGCCGATACGTCCTGATCGGCCACGATCAGACGACAGCGACGGCGTCCGTCTGCGTGTTGCACATATAACGATTCCCACGGCGTGTCATGCCGGTTTTCGTTTACCGCGACCCTTGTCTGTAATATAGATTATTTTCAGAGACAATCAGATTATCCTCTCCTACGATTTATTTACGATGTCTATATATAGAAAGATCAAGATCGAACATGCTCAACTAATAATGTCTTTCTAAGATACGATGGTGTCTAACACCTACTAACAAATTCATCAAAATTCATACTAACGTACGTATAATTATAGTAATGTCTAAAATTATTAATAATTACTGGATTCGCTGCATTACATATGATAAATATTATATTATAATACCAATTTTTATAGATTTAAAATATCTTCTTTTTATGAATTGAACAAATTACTAAGTGTCTTTATTATCGTCGTAATGTAATCATTTAGATATTATAAATAATTTCAATCAGTTTGAGCGAATGAAAAATTTCGATACGATTATATTAGATACATTCCAACTTACTGTTTGTGACAAAATAAAATTATATTTTTTTATTTCAATATCTCATCATGCTATTTTGGAAGCACACTCTTATTTAAACGTGTCTCTAAAAATGATATACATACATGAATTTCAATAAATAAAAGAATCTTATTATGTTAAGAAATAAAATTTTATGACGTATGTATATAAAATTGACATAAAATAAAATCCCTGCTATAAAAAATACAAATTAATATATAAATATAACAAACAAATTATAAACGTTTAAATGCTACTGGAATATAGAAATGTGGACTTCATGTTTAAAATTTTCATAAAATAATGCATACTTACTAGAAGTAAAATGGTTACTGTATCATCCTAAACGTTGTTCAGCATGATAAAAAATTTTATTTATCATATAATATCAGTAAAACATTTAAGGAGAACTTCTAATGCAGTAGCTAATGAACAAAACTAATTGTAAGCCGAAAAAGAAAAATATAAAACTGTCTTGATGAAAAAAATCATATTTTAAACATATTTTTTCAAATAAATAAATTTTCTACAAAAAAGAGTAAAAATTTCCTTCGCGTTTCTTTCTTTATAATACAAATTTATTTAATCTTCTTTCTTTTGTACACATAACAGCGGCATAAAGAAATATGCAGTTTAATTACAGTGTATCATATATGTTATTTAATGATTGATATACAAGTTTATCTATTTTGAATAAAATTTCATGGCGGAACATTTATATGTTTTATCTGGCATTTTTTGGGTCTTTTACCTGGGGTCGTGCTACATTGTATCACACTTTCCACAGCAGTAGATGGTTCGTGGAGTCCTCGCGACCAGCCTGCAACTCGGCCGAAGCTTGAGGTCCGCGGAAGTCCTCATAACCGTCTCCGCCGGATATCACCAAGAGTTTACCACGATTGATATTGTTCTGTTGCGTTTTATTCGATTTCAATGAATAACGATTCACCTTTGGACGAGGGTCTGGTTTCGAGGGATTCGGTGTTTCTACGCAGGTGAGAAAACGCACGTGTCCTGTGTGTCCGTGAGGAATTCCTATGTAGAACATTACAATTTTATTATTTGATTTCGCAAAAATTTTCGGACATTATTAAATAATTAAACATTTCGGACATTATTAAACAAAAGTTCCAGAAATTACATAACAGGGGGAAAAAATATTTCATTTGACAATAAAAAATTACTTAAAATAAAATTACATTTTTTACAATTAAAATTAAAAAATTTGTTGGACCTTCCAACCCCACCTTACAAACGACCAATATTATTATATACATATGTATATGCGTATACATACGAGTACGCATATTCACGCAATGATGTATGTTTGTATGTACGTTATGTATGTATGTATTTTAATGCGATGAAAAAAACATGACATTGATCGATCGCTCCTGTATCCTTCCACGTGGACGGAGATCGCGCGCGATTTGGGGTGTCAGCCAGCTTTCTAATTATATCGCGGGGCAATAATAACGGCAACACAGGCGATAGAATATGACGTCAATACGCACCAGTCACGATCGGTGGCTGCGACATCCTCTGAGTGGATGGCTTTATATGGGGAATTGGCACGGTGAGCAGCACGCCAGCGCTCGTACCGATCCAAAGCAACTCGTTGCAAGCCAATAGTGCGGTGACCCTGAGACAGGCTGCCTTGTGCTGCCGAATTATGTCATCACAACCTGCAACAAGTTTAATGCTTCCGTTAAAATAAATGTCAAATTTTATCTCTTGAGACTTGTTTTTAAGATTTCTATCAATCGATTAATCAGATTCGGTTATTATTTATTTCAATATTTGAGAGATAAATATGTCACATCCAATGTATCTTAATATTAAATAATTAATGTTTTAAGTTAACTCATCATTTACATAAAAATTATGTCCTAGTCTAATTAGCAAAGGCAATTTTAAATTAATAAAAGTTTTCAAAGTTCTAAATACATTTATAAAATTTCGTTATTTTAACTTATTCTTTTTTTTTTTTAATTGATCCTCTCTCTTTTCTTATTTGATTTATATAGTAATCTAGATTAACTTATTATAACTGTCCTTTTTAGAATTGTTTCTTCAAATCTATCTGCTAATTTAATTAGATAACCGCTTAATCCGATTATTCAAGATTTGAGACTTACTGGCAAGCATTTTGGTAACAGCTGGGGCGATGTTGATATCGGTTAGGCATTCGTATGTACCGGAATGGAAAAGCCTTAGTACGGCGCTGTTGTGTAATGAAATCCAAACGCCTAAACCTCCAGAGTTTGCCATACAGGAAACGGCGCGGCTCGTATCGCTGCTTACAGCAAACGTGTGCTCGATGTCCAGGGTGTGGGTATTCAAAACTTTAACGCTATTGTGACACCCGCACCAAAGTTTCCCAGAGACGGACAGCATTTTGGTCACTGGTGACGCTACCGTCCCGACGGACACCGTCGTGGGATCCGGAGTGTTCCATCCACCGGCTAGAAGCAAAACAAAGAAGCAAATCAAATAAAACGACGAAGAGTAAAATTTGATTTAAGATTAAGCGCTTAAGATTATTTTATTGTTTAATTATAAAAACAAATAATCAAGGATCAGCACGTACTATGGTCCCGAACGTAAACGGTGATGTCTCCGTTGGCAAGAGAAACGAACACTTTGTTATCCAAGTATCTAAAATCACAAATAGCTAGGGTTTAAAATATAATCGTGGGAAAGAAATAGAAATATGTGATAGAAGTAAAAACAATATTTTCTTATCTTTTTGATGTAATAATAAAATAACGGACACACACACACATACTTACATGATGCAATGCACGCTGCTGCCGTGCTGTATCTTTACTTTATTCTTCTTGATCCGAATGTTATCGTTGCAGTTATACACGTGAATGCAACCATCCTCGGTTCCTAGCCACATTGTGGGCTGATTCGCATCCTCTTCCGTGATAGTATTGTCAATACTCGATACGTCGCCGCTCAGCGTCACACTGCCCGTGTCTGCGCTTGGAATGTCGTCCGAGTCCGAATCGTCGGAGCTCGAGCTACTGCAAAATGCACAAGCAAAGATAAATATTAAACATAAGCAATATTAAAATATAAACACAAAAAATTCTTGTATATTGGCAGTTTTCTGTTTAAACACGATTACTCTGATCTTGAGGATAAAATTTTATGAGTAATAATTAAAATAAAGTTTAGTATAATTAATGTCTGTTTAGTATAAGTTTATTATAAATAATTTTGAAATTAACTTTAAATGTTAATTAATATATTGAATTACAAATATAAGCATGAGAGATGCATTAATTGAATCAGTGTTCCAAAAATTTATGTTTAACTTAATGAAAAAGGAATAATATGACCATTATTAATATTTTCCATTATCAATAAATCATAATAGCTAATTATAAATCGCTTAATACTGCCGAGTCTCAAATATCATTATTTATGCGCCAGTCGCGATTGCCGCGGGAGAAATATTACCTGTCTAACTGTATATTACCGCTGCTAGCATCCACGTCTTGCACCGATATGCTTATACTATTCTTGCTATTAACGAACGGACTATTGTTCGACATGCACAAGTTTGAACTGAAAAAAAAAAAACACATTTTAAATTCATATATGCTTGTACTTCTCTCCACCCGTTACCTAATTACATGTCTTGTCACAATTAATATTAAACACCTTCCAATCTTACCCAGGTGTGCATACGGGTATTCCAGCGACGCAGAGTATCCTGGCGTTACAGACTCCATTGCACGATGTTACTTGCGGTGGTTCTGGGCTCAAACTCAACACGCACACCTGACCGACGTAACCGTCACTATTACATACCCAGACATCCTTCGATCCCTGTCCATTCGCCAATGTTGGCGCTGCGCAAGTAAACTGCAGACCCGCTCGCGTTTTCCTGATGGGCAGAGGCCCAACGAATTCAGGACATGGTCTCCTGTCAGCTGATAACGCTACACATAAAATGAAAAAATACTTGAAATTGTCTTGTAAGTTTATTTTCATTTAATTAAAAAGATAGAAAAAAGAATACACAACAGATTTAAAAATTAATTTAGAAGAATATATTTTATACTCTCTAAATTCTTTGGAGTGAAATCTAACTCTAAAGAGTAAAAATTGAATTAATCTTGAAAAAGCATGGCTCAGTTTTCAATCTTTAAGAGTGAGATTTCACTCTACAAAGTGAGATTCACTTTAAAAGTTCTAGAAAGTACGTATGTCTGTACTTTTCAATTATTTTTAACTACACAAACTACAAAAGATTTTGTAACTCGAATTGGTGTGTATATTAGAATGTGTATGTTAAAATCAATAATCAATATTGTATTAAACTAAACGTCAGATTTATTTTTGAATCCCTATTTGATTTTTATACACCTCTCCATTCATTTAATCCTTTGTTTAATATTTTATTTTAAAAACATTTTTGTATATAAAAATTTTCAAAATGGATAGTTATGATTATTTAAATTATATTTATCTATTTTTAAAATATTCGAGATGTATCTAAAAATATATGTTATTACATTGCTCCATCAAACGATATAACAAAAGATATTATATTTAGAATATCTATATTAATACTAATAAATCATTTCATGAGAAATAGCTTTTTTTAACGTGGAATGATCGACGTGAAAAAGTAATATTACTCACCGAGCTTCTGTTTGGCTTCATTAAAGCTCTCCTCCCAACTCGCACGCTTGTCAGGCTTCGCGAACATGACAGATATATTCTCGATCCCAGCTCTGCAAACGAAGTACATAAGTGTAATGTGAGTCATACTGCAACCACGATCATTATGATTTAAGAATTCGATTCTAAGCACGCTGTTAGAAACGTGATCGAAAGATACTCTAAGAATGATCGAAAGATCTCACGTTGATTTTGTAATATTAAATAAAACGCTTTTTCATTAATATCCTTCGTCAAACTAAATTTATTTATTGTCATCAATTTCCTGGTTTCAATGACTACACACATAAATAATAAAATAATAAAAATATAAACTGATGTACCGATGCAAAAATTGTGCTTTTACTTTATCTTGACATATGCAGCAAATAAGGATTCGAGTATAGTCTTAAACACAAATTACTTTAGAACAAATTTTATCATTAATCCCCCAAATATATGTTTATTTATCTTGCTTAATTTTCAAGAAGCACGCTTACTGAGTATTGAGTGTAAGTTCCAAGCAAGCCAACTGGGAATGCGCCGCGTTTCTTTCTGCCAATTGCCGTTGGGCCTGACTCAGCATATCCTTGATAAGGTCTTCCAACTGTTGCTTGGCACCATGCAAAGCTGCGGCGAGCTCCTGCAGCTGAGTCAACTTTGTGCAGTCTTCTCGGAGATAGTCGACTTCGCGTGCCATTCGCCTTAAATTTTCGTCTTTGGCTGGAAACGATATTGGGGTAGTATACATCGAACGATGAGTAATATACTAAATTTGTGTCTCTACGATACCTTTCATTACTTCGAGATCATCCAGTGAGATTCGCATCAACATTTTATACTTATTTGCGTCAAGCAGACCGACCAGACTGTTCGGGCACGTGCTTCTGTGAATTTTTATCTTTTTTGTATTTTTATTGTCGTAGAAATTTTCTATTAACTATCTTTGTGTAAAAAATTATATAATACATAGATGATTTACATTAATATTGTATATTCGTATATTCTATAGATTACTTTCTACCATTTAGACAATATAGCCAGAAAAGATTTATATCAATTTTGTTTACTTGCGTTGTAATTAGCTATGTTATAAACATAAAAATTATTTTAAGAAAGCTTTAAATAAATGTTTGGTAATTTAAAAATATATATATATATATATATTTATTTATAAACTTTATGTATTAAACTCTTTTTATTAAAATGTTAGATGAAATAAGCTCGATTTAAGTAAATAAATTCGCAAAAATATATATTTTGTCATCCAGCTAAATAAAATATTATAACAATCGCTGTCTTTATTATTAAAGTATATTTTACTTACGTTGACGGTTTTCTTATTGTGCCGCTTCTGCGCTTGATGCTGGTGATGACGAGGAGATCGGAGAATAAAAATAAAGCCCGTTCCTTCCGTGTGCCCTGATTCGACGCTATGGTGACCAGATCGTGTCGGACGAAAGCTCTACAGCAGAGAAAGCGGACAACGTGTCACACGATGAATTCGATGAATCTTTTTGTCGCGTCGTGGCCAGTTTCCGCTACAGCACGCATCATTATCGGTAATCAATACTCCGATTCTGATGGCTAAATAAGTCCAGTGGAAAAACTATGTAACGCGTATGAGACGATTGGCACAGATTGAAAGGCACGCGAAGTAGGACGACATTTCTGTCACAGCAATAGTCGATAATTTATTGGAAAACGTTATTCAAAATGGTTTATAGAAATGGTACGCATCTTCTTAATTATTTACATTCCTAGTAATCAATTCAAATGATTATTCTATAATATTTGTGTGACAAAAGCACATAATTTTTATACTTATTTAAATATATTATAATAATGTCATGAAACAATATCATGAATAATGTTATTGTGACATAAACACCTAGCAACTGTAATTATTATAGCTTGACCTTATAAAAAATTGTCGCTTATACTTAATATCTAAAAAGAAAGAAAATATGAATGATGAAGCATGACTTTGAGTACACTCCAGTCCAGTTTGTAAATTGAGCGATTGACTTTACAATTTGTAGACTTATTTCCACTCTCTTGTTTTCCAGGACGCTTCAGTGAAATTCAATTTCAATATTCTCCGTCAACGCAAAAATGAGAAAATGATTGGGAATTATCATCTCATCGTAATGGCATTACGGTCATTGATCATAAACTGAAGATATTACGTTGCAAAATGATCGTAAATCAAACGCTATACAATATCGATTGTAAATCCGAGACCGGCTGTCTTCGAAAAAACAAAGCTGAACTATCATCCGCATTCCGCAGTTAGTGCAAAAATTACAACAAATATCAATTTGCTGATCATTATTACCTGTCATTCGTTACGATACCAGCGAGACCTTCGACAAGGGCCTGGACCTCCCTCAACGTCGTCTGTTGCTGTTCCCATTCGAGCGACTCCCTTTCCGTGCAGTTGATCTTCACGACCAGCTCGTGCACTTCTTTCTGCGCAGCCTGCAGTAACTCGTAATCAGGATGCGTCGGATCCGTGTGTTTTAGCAACCTCTGAATCAACAGTTCGTACCGCGGGATCTTCTGCACTGGTTTGATCAGCAGCTGGTCCAGTCCCAGCTTGCCCTTGTGCTCGCGTTCCATTGTCTAATCGGAACAAAGTGTGATCTACCTTCTCTGCGAGCTTTTTATAATTTATTTCGAGCATATTTAAATAAAGTAAGTTGAACTAAGCAGTAATATTTATTACTATGTAGTCACAATAATCTCATAATGATTCAATCGGAATCTTACATAATAAAAAATTTTATTTTTTAAAATAAAATATACCTAATCGCTTTAGAGAAAGCACTTTAAAGAAATATATATTACACCCGTATATAATGTCATAAACTATCATGAATTCAAAAAAACTTATAATTTTTTAGCAAAATCACTAATTTTTACTCTTTGTGTGCTCTCGAGTAGAATAAACAATCACATTAAGTTAAAATGTCATAAGATGTCATGATGACATTTTATATTTAAAAATAAACTTATAAGTGACAAATAAGGTAAGGAAGATATCCTTATAATATTATTATGACTTCTGTGTTCTATTTAAGTTGTATTACAGAATCAACAATGATAAAGCACAATGACAATTTCAAGCTTGACAGTTTAAGCACATTTCAGTGTTTAAAACGGTCGATACTTCGTAAGCCCCGAGGCGCGAGTTGCCAAGTGTGTCGAAGATGCACCCAGCCTCATGAGAATCTAAGCGGTAAGTAGGCGACGGTGACACCGGCAGTCAAGTAACAAGTTAATTATATCGATAAAATTACGAAAGGTCAGGTTTGATCGCGACGCTTTAAGAAGCGACGTGGAATGAAAAAGTTTCGTATTTAATAATAACCGTCGCATTATGAAGAGAGAAAGATATATGTATGTATGTGTGTGTATATGGATATGTATATAGAGTCGCAGCGGACAGAATGTGCAGCGTACCTCGAGAAATCGTGCGAAGGCCGGCTTCGCTTGGCACGTTGTTTTTATCGCCTTCCTCGCAGACTTCCAATTGTCCAGAAACAGGGTGTATGTCTCCAGCACCACCGGCTTCGTGAACTACAAAGCGACACGAGCTCTTTTTACATATCGGTGAAAATGTGTGTCATGTACGAAAACGTAATTCTCTAAAAAGATGTTATTTAAAATAGTAAAAGTATTCAACTATTACTTAATCCTTTTCGTTAAGTTAAAGAGAGATATATTATGGAAATATTTGAATAAAGGTTTACTTAAAATGAACATCATCTAAATAAATTCATGTTCTCCATGTTCAATTTTTAATTAAATGCGTTTCATTATTTTATCTAAAAAATTTGAGATTTAAATTATTTTGCAATATATACGTATTTCGCTAAAAGATTTACTTCATAAAAATGTAAGTATGTGGCAGATTTCTTGTTTATTTTTAAATAATCAATAAAAAGTTTAAATCCGTGGTACAACATGTTTAAATTCAGGGTACGCAAATTCGGAGATAAGAACTCGTTAAACTTTACTCTCTTTATTAAATAAGATAAAAATTTGAAATTACGCAAGTTAATTCTATCAAAATTTCTTCTGTCTATATAATACTTATTAATCGCGCGTCGAATACGCCAGAATTAATTCGCGATGGCTAAACTAGAAACGAGAACGATTTTCGTCTCACGTTGTATCTTATTTTTTAGAGAAGATCCTGAAATATCACGGCATATCGCGAAACAATCGCTGTAAATTTATACGTTACATGATGCACGGAAAAAATACGGAACGCAAATAAATGTGTTTTCAAAGATAAAAATATTCCGTGTTTATATAAGGGGTGGTATGGCCGCGACGTTGGTCGATTTATTAACGTAGACCGAATAGAAGAACGCGCCGCGAATTAACTGTACGGTGTCTGTCGATTCTGCTGGCGTCCTGGGAATCTCAACGGCAAAGGAAAACGAATACTGTTGCTCGTGTAATTTATTACGTGTCCGGCTGGAGATATTTGTGCACCTAGTAACAATGTGAACTCACCACATCGAGGAAGACGTCGCCGATCGTCTGCCTGAGTTCCCAGGTGTCCAGCCGCCTACGCAACTCCTCCAAGAATATCTCGTGATGACTGAGAAGCGCAGGGACCTAAAATGCGCAAGTATTTCCCTTCGACAACTTTATCTTTGATTAATAGACATGCAATCAGATAATACTTTATACAAGATCAGGTTGAAAATGTAAGAATCGATTAAAACGCGAATCAAACAAATAAAGAGCTAACTGTTATGTCTGAATTTTTTGTTAACATTTTCGCTATAAATTACATATAAAATTTATATCGCGAATGCATAGATTGAAAATTGTAAAAATTTACACAAAAATATTATTAGAAATCAAGGCCTTCAATATTGGTCCTCAATATCTGTCTTTGTTTCTTTCTATCAATTTTTACATCTTACTGTTTATATTAAAAAATAGAATAACAAGAGAAGTGATATAATCTCATCTCAGTTTTTATGACGCTATTTAAATAAATTTTATAATCTTGTTAGTAAGATTTTTTATCTTCAATAATGTATAATTTATATAGACAATGCATAAACTAAGAATTATATAAAAATTCACTTAAAATATTATTAATTTATTACAAACCAAAATCTGCTTTGGATTGTTCTCTTTATTTATTTGTATTAATTTTACTTATTATCGTTTATATTAAAAAATAAATGATAATCGTATGATGTATAATATAATAAATACATCGTATATTCTAATTATTATCTAATAATAACGCCTACATATGTTCTGGTATTATACAATAAATATCATTAATGTTCAGTAAATTTAAGCTCTTCTTCAATTGAATGTCCATAACAATGAATTATATTAATGATCTCTATTACTTCTCGAAACAATTCATTAATAATTAACATATCACAATTTGTTAATCATTGCTTTAAATGAATTTTGAAGAATTAAGCAGAGAGTGTTTCACAGTCAATGGTGCTCGCCATTCGCGCGGCATCGATCAACTTCGTGGTTAGATCTCAGTCCTAAATCTTTGGTCGGTCGGGAGATCGTAAAGACCTCCTCCGTCTATATACAACTCGACGCAGCATTTAAAACATAACTCCGCGAAGAGAGAGGAGTTCCTTGGTTCCGCGGAACTTCCCGGATGTTGAATTATAACCCGTCGACGAGGCATGGATTTATGCGCACTGAATAAGTGCGACGTACATATTATACTTATTATAACAACGAAAATACGAAAATAGTTTTGCTTATACCTTATAATACTATATATCACATTTACCTGATAAAATATTTCGTCGACTGTTGCGGCATCCACCAAACCGGCATTTTCGGGACTTTTCAAGGGCTGTAAGTATTTCTGAAACATATTTAAAATATTGTGTTCAAGATACTGTTTCAAACATGTAACAATAGCCTATTTATTTATTAAGGTTTTGGTTAAGCTGAAAATATATTGAAAAAAGAATCCTCTGTTTTCTTTTTATCAACAGTATTGTTACTTTTAAATAAGTAAAGGTGTATTAAATTGTCTGCAGTTATTTGCAAACGGAACTTAATTTTTAATAATTTTCATTTAGCTTCGCTATTACTTAAGCTGAAGATCTACATTATATCAAAAAATGCTTGCACGCGCATTCTCGGTAGACCTTCGGGCTCATTTCGTGTCCTTCAAACCGAAGGAGACTCTGTAAGCTTTAAATGCTAGAATTTCAATGCCGCGAGTCGAGAAATGAATTCAATTCAATTAACGCCAACGCGTTGATACCGTAACCCACCGCGGTAAAAAATATTTCTCGCGGTTTATTTGTACGCTGATAGCTTCTCGCCTATTATTTTTCTAGGTCACTTCGTCGACGTAAAAAATGCGGGGGCCCTCCTCCCTTCATCCCAAGGCCACTGTTAAATAATCAGTAAATGTGCCGACAACGATTCCCGTTGTGCGGCAACCGCGTTGTTTATAAAATATGACAATCAAGCTAGTCGTACGCGCCGTTTACGGTGACGCTTAAATTCCGGCGTAATGTTGGATAAAAATCGCCTCGGCTGAACTTCGAAGAAGTCAGCACGCCTTATTTTGAAATCATAAATAGTAGAACCTTGGTTTAATCCTATGCATTTAAGTGTGATTTAGGGCGATAGCGATCAAAGATTATTATTATTATTTATACACTGTCAATTTTGATAAAGAACGTATGTCTCAATTATCTAACTTTGTTAAATTTCAACACCTTAGAGAGAGAGAGTACTTTGTCTAACATGCATTATGATTTTTGCATACACGATCTCTTTTTATTTAAAATAAAACAGTAAGATTAAGAAAAACTTTATTTCTTTAATTAAGAAAATTATATTATATTAATATACTGTTGGATTAATAAATGTAAATTGTATTAAGATATAAACATAAAAATGTATCAGAAAGTTTGAAAAGTAATCTTTAAAATATGGTATGTATGTAACATACATACATTTATTTACTTATCTTACATTTTGTACATAAAAGTATTACATGCGCGCGCGAAAGATGTTTTTTACATCCAGGATGAGATTTTAAAAGCTCATAAATTTATAGTATTATCATTTGAAGTGATTATTAATAATGGACAGATTGACATAATGATGATAGGCATCCTCAATTCGTCTGATAAAGTAATATTAATTTTTAGACAATATCGTTGTGTGCATCAATGTAATTGTTTGATTCAATAATTATATCGCATTGCGAAAGAGCAATGCAATTAATATAGCATATAAATCGCGTAATTAATTAAAAAAAAAGTCGATCTTATCAGTTCTACAGCCAATGTTTGTCTAGATAGCTTTTATTAAAGCGCTGGCAGCAATCTGTGCAATTGTACAGGAGCACGTTGCACGTAATGTGACTCGCGTTTCACACGTGTTCGAAAGTCCGACAGATTTCCGGTCACGAGCGACTCATGCATGTGCTCGAAAAAGTACCATAAATTTCGATCAATTCAATAAATTAAATTACCTTACTATTAAAATCTCAAAAATTAGATATACCATATAGGCTGAGCTAGTTAAAATGTATGTCACAAACACATAAGAAAGAGCATGAGGTCACGCTGGCGCCGGTTGTTCTTATGATTATATTATTATATTGTTTTTAATAAATTCGATCACTATACAGACTACGAAGTTATACAAATTGATTAAAGTATTTAATAAATTCAAAACAACTCTCTATACGTTTCAGCATGCATTAAATCATCCTCAGAGGTCAAATAAGAGAACTCACATAAATAAGATACTCTACAATTCAGGTACAATTAAAGTTTTAAATTATTTATGCTGTATTATATAATGTATGTATAATAGTAAACATCAATCAATCATGATATAATAATATAATGACGTAGTAAGAGTGTAATGACATAATATCAATGTTGTATAATTCTCTGCTCAACAGTATAACTGTTATGTACATGTTATATTTATATTATTGAGTAAAGAAATCATTATATTTATGTAATATATTTTGTTAGTTTTTTAATACCGGATAAATGGAAAAATGTTTACACACACAAAATTTGTAAATAGCCACATATTTATGTGGTGTGGTGTAGCAAAATTCTATTCCTTTCGTAAAAATTGATACTTCCAAATGCCTGAATACAAATTGCAATCAATTTAGAAAAATCGTGAAATCCGCAAGGCTTTAATAACAAAAAGTAAAAAGCATTTTTAGCTTTTAATTTTAGTAAAGTTGAAATTAAGGAGTAAAAGAAGTGATAAGTAATGACTGAATGCAAACTGGAATATCCATATCGGATTTAGATGGAATAAAAGAATATCATTATCATTCCGCGATAGAGCGAAGTGATACCTTGACATAGAGTCGTGTTGCACAATGCATTGAGTAACCAATTTCGTGATCCGCCCTTCAGCGGATATTAGATGCATTGTGCCATTAAACAAAATATTGACCCAAGGACGCAAGCGTGTTGAAAATCAGATTACAAATACAAGGCGACCTTGTGTAGGCAAGGTGAAACTGCCGCCTGTTGCATTTAACGGATTGTGCACTGCTAATAATTCTCTCTTGCAAATTTTCATATATATTTCGAAGATAAAAATATACAACCATTTATACTGCCGGAGTTTTATTATCTATATTAACTTCATACATGTTATTAATTTTACAATTGCATCACATTAAATCAATTAAACCCTGTTTCAGAATTTGGTGTATCATAAAATTTTCATCGTACAAATATTATAATTTCAAATTTTAATTATATTTTATTATATTAATTTATTTTAATTATATCGTACATTTACAGTTAATAATGTTGATTAAATAAACCCATGTGTTTATGTATGTATTATATTATATATACATATAAATTTTACATATATAATATTTTAAAAATTCTTAATAAAATTATATAAACTAGTTATGGACTCTTTATTGTTAAAAACAAATAAATAAAACATAAATTAAAGGCTATTAAGAGTCAAACGCAGTTAACAATGCGAAAAAAATTTTTTAATAATCTTACAAATTAACATTAAGATGCCCCGTCGCACGGGGGATTCGACGGGGCATCTTAATGTTAATTTGTAAGATTATTAAAAAATTTTTTTCGCATTGTTAACTGCGTTTGACTCTTAATAGCCTTTAATTTATGTTTTATTTATTTATAATATTTTAATAAATCTATTTCATTATAAAATTGTCTGAGAAACATTGATTTAAACAATGACTTTCATTATCTAAATTGCAATATAAAATTTATTAGTAATGTATCGTTTTTTGTAACAATTTTTCAACCTTGGAAAGAGGGATGACAATACGTGTTTAATCGCGTCTTTTGTAATATTATGCAAGCGCATAAATCGACTGTTTCCCGTAATTATTCGTCACGATCTGGTATTCAAACCTATTTCCGGTGTTTAACGAAAAGCGATTATGAAGTCGGGAGTGGCAATTTAATGAAAACAACATGCCGGACGTACAACAACGGCGTACTTGGATCGAACGAGCAACAGCTCGCTGAAGCGAAGATGTTGTTCAATCAAAGCGAATAAACGAGCGGGGGTGTGTTTGTTTACAAGACGCAAGGACGAATCGCAGTTCCGACGTACGACGGTGGCGGTGTAGCGCCGTTTCTTTCAACGTCGCGACTCGAGAGAGATCGATCGACCCTCTTGACCATCCTAGTCCGGAATATTTCTTTTGAAAGAAGTTAATTTGTCTATATATTTAATCTTTTCTTTCTTACAAGTCTCGGAAATTGAGAAAAATTATATGATCGCTAACATCAAAGATTTCAAAAATATTAAAAAAATGTAGGTATACGTACGTTCTATAGAGAAAAAACTAAATCAAATTCTAAGAAGAAATGAGCATTCGATGACAAACAACTGATAATTGTTATATACAAGTCAGAAACAAGTTAGAATTTTAATTAAACAAAAAAATATCTTTTTAGAAATTTTTTTGTTTATATTAAAGAACTGTATTTTACGAGGAATCGATCTTTCTTCAGATTCGAATTAATCAATAAATATATACTTACATTGACTAGTATCTGTAGCGCCTCCACGTAGGATCGTTCTGTATCGTAAAGCTCCACAACCACGTGAGTCCTCGTGTCCTGCAACGCAGAGAAGACAATCAGAAAAGATGAGTACTCGTTGAGTAACATTACGAGAGAAGGAAACGTTTGACCGAGATGGAGAAAGAGAGGGAGGCGACCAAGCACAGCTGTCATAGCTCGATTATTACATCGTCTCGTGATGAAGATCGCACGTGCGCTTTCGAAACATGTACACGTGCGCGCTTCACGTGCGTATGTGCGATGCGTTTGATTATGATCGTTATGCAACATTGATTACAAGTCGCAAGGTTCATGTCGGCATTATGTGATGCACACATGCCGACGAGGCATCGAAAGACGAAGTACTTTAACCCTGAATAACTAATATATATGATATAATAAACCGCTTTCAATTTACCTGAAAATCCTTCATAAAAGCATTTTTACCTTTATAATCACATTATACCTTTCCTTTCTAACTGTCTATATTTATTTTTTCCTATGTTTCTAGATCCCACGTCTTTAATTTTTATAAATAAAGATATAAATATTATATTTAACATACTTAATACAGAAATAGTTAAACGCACTTCTTTATATATGTCCATTTTTTTTTACAAAAACATATTTTATGATTAAAAATAGGAAAAAACTGGAAAAGGTAGAAATCTGATCTATCTGACTTTTAAATGAGACAGTTGAGATTATTTTAAAAGTACTTTCGCAGGGTAGTACGTCAAAAGTTTTAACGTTTACTCAAGACGCTTGGAATGCTTTTTCATTCAGAATTAGCTGTGCCTAGTCTATAAACATCAAAAACAAGAACTACCCACGCGCTCGGAGGTGACGCGTTCGTTATTCTCGCTATCCACCGATGGCTGACTGACGAGCTTGTGATCAGCGTCCATTGTCATCCACGTAGGCCACCTGTACTGAGATTTCGTAAGCATTGACGCCCTCCACTTGCATAGTAATCCGAGCGATCGCGCGGAAAGTGCGTAGTTTCGCAATCTTCTGAAACCGATGCACCGCGAAGCGCGTCCAACTGTAGAATATGCACTCGCGTCTCGCACGTTTCCGGTCTCTCACTTTAATCTATTCCGCTTGGCGGAAATGCCGGGGCGAAACCAAAGTAGCGCTCTTAAGCTTTCGCACGTAAAAGCTGCACTCAAACGTTTTATTCTTGGACTCTTCCTACGAACTTCAAGTTGATCGCGTTCGAATACTTCTCGACTCAGTAAACTGTATCGATAAAGCAGCAATTAATGTACAATAATTTGTACATTAATTGCTTGTAAGTTTTATAAATCTTATAAATGAAATACAAAATAAAATGTAGCCTCTTTACTGCGCGTTTCTCATCTATATAATTTAAATAATTAATAATGTAATTTCCTGGAAAATTATTATTGTAAATTATTATAAAAGAAGTTTGACATTCCAAATGACTCTCGATTCTTAACTAATATTGTAAAGTCGCATATATATATATTTTCGTTTCTTCTATATATTTCTACCTATTTATATTCAACATCAGATTTCCGAGAAAATTAATAATAAATTCCATGAAATTTTCATAATAAAGAGTTTCCAAGAAACCAATGAAAAAAAATAAAATAAGTAATGAAAACAAAAATTCTCGCATTCTCAATCTGTATCGACTGTTACGATACTTTTCGAGAGAATCTTTTTCGCATATATTATTTCTTTATTTTTAAACGAAAATCGTGTATTTTCGCGAAATTTCCAGCAGTGTCATTTTTCAGGGAAAACCCATATTAAGAGAGAGAACAATATACACTTCGAACACCCCGTGCGATCGGTATAACGAAAGTTGCGCAAGTTCCGACTCGAGATAAATGGAAAAGAATTTGGCTGTCCATCGACGCTCGTACGTGCGTCGGATCTGAAAACGGTGCGCGTGTCGAAGAAAAAAAAAAAAAAGCTGCGTCTCTCAGGGTGTCTGTACGCCTACTCTCGACACGCTCAGACAGAGCCTCTTTAAAAGCTCGTGGGAATTTGCACGCGGAGCTTTCGCGCCTCCGGACGATCACGCGTCGAACGCGTCGAACGCGTCATGTACGAACCGACCGACCGCTCGTTATATTTAGCATCGTGACTAAAGACCCTCCGCTTCGTCCCGTGAGCTTGCAAGCTCATCCGTGCTGCTCTTTCTGTCCCTCTCTCTTCTTCACGCTCCGATCTTTCTTCGTTCTAGCAGATTGGACCCAGTTACTGAATCAATAGTGAACCCTTGATCCTGCAGCACGAGCACAATCCGTTGCGCGATCGCTTAATTACGCGAGTTCCCTTTGCTAATTAGTCGTACTGTTAGATCACAAACGCTCGACGTTTATCCCTACAGCTATAAGTCTTCACCTTGGTAAAAAGCAGAAAGTGCGTAATTAAGTTTCTTCAACAGAAAAACTATACATATAAGTTCTTTGCAGAATATATGCTCCAAATTTTCTTTCTGTATATAATTTATATAACTTATATTTTATACGTCGACCCGCCATCAGAGGTCTCTATCGATATACGCAAATCTCGCAAGTGCTTCGATACGCGTATGTCTCTTCATATAGAATCTCGATTGAATAACTCTCCCAGGCGTCTAAGGTATAGGCTTCCACTACAATGCCTTACTGATGAGTCCAGTAGTGGAAGCTGGGACGAAACGCCATAATTACGTGATATTCTTCGCAACATATTAGATCAATTAAAAAGATTTTTAACGAATTTATTGGCTCATTGCTCATGTCTCTTTATATTAGTTTTTAAAAAAACTTATTGAGCCTTATTCCAAATAATTTATAACTTATATTATTTGTTAAAATTGAAAATAAAGATGTTTTACGCGTGTTTGTATTCCAGCATTTCTCGTAAAAAGAAAACAAATTATCTAATAGCGCATTGACAGTTCCAATTGACTTTATTACGTGACTGTAATTCTATTATATAAAGCGATATTCTATTATGCAAGCGCTTAGTTTTATGTCACACGTGACAAATACCGAATACACCAGACAGAACGATTTAATTGTTAATCAACGTTTTTATGTGACAATTAGGAACTATGTAATCTGATAGATCAATGTTCTATATGTATATATATAATTATAAGAATAAATTAATTCTACACTTAATATCATTAATAATCATACTAAAAAGAACACTAAATTTTAATAAATATTTGAATAGTTTTAAGTGAATATCTACTATAAACGTAAACATATACATATATTTATTTGATACAAAACCATTATTATTTGATTTAACTATCATTTCTTTTATTGAATAAACATTCATTTATTGTAAGCAAATGTTTACTTGATACTATACAAAGAAATATGTATTAATAAATTTAATAAATTTTTGTCAATGCATTGTTAAAGGGATGGATTGTAGAAATTGCAAAACATCTGTTTGTTTCGTCATTATGTAAAACATTAATCAGCTTTGATGAATAATAAACGTTACTTTAAATAGATTTAAGAGATAGATTCATGCAAAGAGATTTCGTTGCAGTTTATTTACGGAATTTTGAGATGATTCAACGAGACAAGGTCAGAAATAGACGTTCTCACGATGTGATTGTGACATAAGGAAAAGGAAACGCACATTTCCTGATACTAAAACGTGTCGAAGGAGAAAAATCACGATTTCGACATTCGGACGCGACATTTGACAATGCTTCGATCAGACTTGCATGACGAGTTCTAACTTAGTTTCAAAGAAATGTATATCGTAGCCAGAATATCACAAGTAACCTTGGTATAAACACAAAATATAAAAATATAAGAGATCTTGAAATGCGTGAAAGATTGAATAAAGCTTGTCTGACAAAGGGACCAAAGCAAAGATTCAAGCGTAACTTTCCAGTGGCACAAAGTGTGATCGACATTATTTGATTAACTCTTAGATACGCGCACGGAATAATTAAGAGTTGCTCACAGAAACACGCAACAACTGCGGAAAAAAAAAAATATTATATTACATTAGACCTTTTTGTGATAAAAACATATTTTAATAACATTTTCTACAGTTACCTGTCGTTCTTTTTATAGCATTAAATGCATATAATAGCAAATGCAATATAGAAAAAAGTGCAACCATTTCCTGGAAAAGGTATTAAAAAATTTAGGTAGAAAAGAGTATTGAAAATTTTAAGATCAAGTTGAGTAATGCGTATAATTACATTATAAATCATTAAAAATTTAGAAAATTTTAACGCCGAAAAAAATGCGAGTGTCTTATTCCGTTTTTTAAATTGTAAAAATAGAATTTAATACAATAAGATATTAATTTTGTATATTAATTGTACCGTGAGGAGAAAACTTGTTAAAAGTCACAGAAATTTGAAAGAAAAAAAAAATTGTATGGGGCGATCGATTGCTCAATATAACGAAGTATATTAAATGTCTGATCATTAAGAGCTTGGCCGCGCGCGTGCGACCGTGCTTAAACGAGTTGAAAAACGTTCACTTACTTACAGGTACTTATCCGTACGCCTTCGTGTCGCTTTAGAGTGCCACGCGATCGCAAGTAAACACTTTCAACGTAAGTTTGCACGTCGACGAGGCTCGAATGAAATTACAACCTGTTACGTACGACGGAGGCGTCGCGACGCGCCTGTAATTGCACTCGGTCGCCCGCGTTACTTCAATTCTCGCCAAAAAGAGAGAAAGAGAGAGGAAATAAAAAAGAATCGTAAATCGAAGCAGAACGATACCTGGACCTTGTCTGAGAGCCATATATCTCATGTACCTACACAACTCTGACTACAATTATTTTAACCAAACGGATGGCACAAAATAATATAACGCCGCACGAGCAAATCGAGGGATGATATAATTCAAGACGATTACATTGATCGAGGATCGATTCGAACGAGGTAATCGTCGCTTCTGTTCGCGAATAACAATAGACGTATTGTTGGATTCTAACAAACGCGCCAGGCTTGCTTTATTTCTTCTTCGATCCCGCCGAATTTTCCAACGAATATAAATATAAAATGCTGATAACTTTGCGATTCATCGATATTTTCAGAGTACTCT